CCGGAGCGTCGGGGTGGGGTGGGGCAGGGGGCGCCTGCGGGCATGCCGTGCGCCGTGCAGCTGGGCACGGCTAGCTGTGCACACTGGCCTGCTGCCACACGCACCCTCGATAACACACACCACAGCCGCCCATGCCGGCACACGCCCACCTGCCCCCACACATACGCAGGCGACATCCCACAGCACTGCGACCAGTGCGGCGGCTACCACTTCCTGCGCCGCACCGACCGCCCCATGGCGGCGGCGCGGCAGTGCGACGACTGCGGCATGCGCCACGCGGTGCGCCAGAACGAGGTGTGGTTCGAGGGCGCCAGCGCAGGTGAGCCGGTGGGGGAGGCAGGAAGGGGAGATGCCGCGCCGCACCAGGCTGCCCTGCATGCCGATTGGCGCACCCGCGGGCGGCGGTGTGGGCTGCCCGCCTGCCCGCCACCTCACCGCTGCTGCCCTGCGCGCCTGCCCCCATGTGTGCCCCGCAGGCTTCCTGCGGCGCACCATCCACATGTACTGCTGCTACAAGGGGGTGGTGTACGACATGAGGCAAGCAGGGCCGCCCCGCCCAGCCCAGCCCAGCCCATGACAGCGACACGATGCCCCTGCCCTGCTGTCACGTGCCTACTGGATAGCTGGCCGGCCCTGCTCCGCCCCCTGCCTGCCGCTCCCCGGGGCCCCACTCACCCCCGCCCCCCCCGCCGCCGCTTGGCGCCGCTGGTGCAGCGAGGGCGCGGAGTGCGAGGGCACGCTGCGGGCGGTGCACGAGCGAGCCTTCCCGCTCAACAGACACGTCAACTTCTTCAGGTGGGGCTGGTGTGCGTGTGTGTGTGCTGTCGTGGTGGGTGGGTGGTGCGGGTTGGTGGGGTGCAGCGTGGGGCAGCAGGCGCGCCCTGTTCCTCGGCGCCGACGCGGCCTGCTGGTGGCGGCACCCGCCGATGCTGCTGTCGCTGCCCCTGCCGCGGCTGGGCTGCAGGGGCTTTGGGCTGTCCACGGGCGGCGGCGGCGGCGGTGGCGGCAAGAAAGGGCGGGGCGGCGGCCAGCAGGGCGCGGCGCCACGCGGGCAGGGCCCGCGCGGCGGGGGCCAGAAGAAGAAGGGCAGGCGGCGCTGATGGTTTGGCGCAGCGGCCCTCCGCCCCCGCGGATGGCTGCCCTGGCGGGAGAGGCCACGCCCTGAAACGCAGCGCGCTTCAGGATCCAGCTTGACTTAGGCAGGAGCAGGTACACCGGGCATTGGAAACACCGAGCCCACACAAAAGCGTTACAGTGCCAGGCAGCAATAGTTCAGGCATTCTACATTGTTTCTCAGCAGTGCCACAGTTCACTTGTTTGTTCAAGAGCCCACGACTAGAGCAAAGGCAATATTCAATGCTGCCAGCCGCCGCCTGGAGCTACCGCGGCGCCGCAGGCTTGAGGTGGATGCTCATCCCGGCCAGCGGCAGGCCCTCGCGCTGCGACATGCCTGCGCCCGACAGCGTCATGGTCGTGCTGCCCTCGCTGTCGCGCCCAAAGCTGCATAAACGTGGGAGGCACACAGGGCTGGTCGGCCAGCCCAAGGTGGAAGGCATACGGCAGCGACCTGAATGCAAGGCGTTCATGGGACCAGGGCAAAGCCGCCCGCGGATGCCCCCACACTACCTGCAGGCTGCGAAGAAGCCCTGGCTGCTCTTGGGCGCCAGCAGGCCCACATCCACGATGCCAATCACATCCAGCTGCAGCAGATAAGATGGGGCAGAGGCGGAGCGGGAGGCTGAGGTGCACCGGTGGGTGGGGGTGGGCCCTGGGCACTACCAATGGTGATGCTTGGGCACATCAAGGATCAGGCCACTGGTTCAATAAGGCACAGGCTTGCATCCCGTCAGCCGACCGGCCAGCTTGGAGCTTGCCTGCCTGAGAAGGCGCCCCAGGAGCTGCCGCCCCAGGCCCAGGTGCTGCAGCTCGGGCATGACAGCCACATCATGCACCGTGGCCACCAGCGCAGCATCCCCCACGGCCCTGGCAAAGCCCACCAGCACCCGGCGCTGCTGCCGCTGCCAGCCCGGCTGCGTGGGCCAGGGCACCCCATCCTGGGGCTGCTGCTGCTGCTCCTGGCACAGGCCGCGGCTGCCCAGGTGCTGCCACTGGGGCAGGTGCTGCTCGGAGGCATAGGCCGCCACACACACCAGGCTGCGCTGCAGGGCGCCCCGCAGCCGATGCGAGTCTATTGCTGCGCCCGGCGACCCGCCCCCGGCTCCTCTGTCGCCGCTGCTGCTGGCGTGGAAGGACTGCCCGGGCGCAAAGCAGGCCACCTGCTGCAGCAGGTCGGCCAGCTCGGCAGCATCCACCCGGCTCAGGTTGTAGCTGCAGGCAGCGGCAGAGCACAGCACACAGCGCAGCTCTGGCCCCGGCCTTGCATCGCTGGCCATGCTGCAGCTGAGTTGGCAGGATCAGGCACTTGCACGCCACGAGTCGAAGCACCAACACTCTCAGCCACCAGCGGCATCCGCCTGCACCGCCACGCCGCCGCCCACCTGTAGGCCACTGGAGGCAGGCGCTGCAGGGGCTGGATCGTCTCGATTCTGTGTTGTGCTGCATTCTTGGAGAAGGCTGCCGGGACGCCGCAGCGGCGCCGGCCAAGTCGCCGCCCGGGACAGCACCAGGGGCTTGCGGTGCTGGCTGCCATGATGACCGAGATGCAGGTTAGGGTGGGACCAGGACGATCGCACGACATGGCACTTTCGCAGTACATTCGAGCAGTACGTCATTGAAAACAGCCGATAGATCTCTCGACAGCGCGCGTGATGAAACCGTGTCAATAGTGTGATTGCGTGTAGCCCCCGACGATAGCCGCCACGCCTCGTTCAACCACCAGCAACCGATCAGGTGGGAGCTGCAGCAAAAACACTTGCACTCAGCAGTGCCGGATCTGCAATCACTTCGCATCCAAGGATTTGCCGCCATGGGGTCAGCCACTGGCCAAGTCACTGGCCCCACCCGAGCGCCGCCGTTCGCGGCGGTGCAGCTTTGTTCACCAGGTTCTGGGCTGGCAATGCCGCATCTGTTACCCCTCGCAGGGATGCGCATTATGAGGGCTTCCTGGGCGCTGGTACTGGCTGCCTGCCTGCTGCTGCCTGGCACTTGGGCGCAACGCCGCCAGCAGCTCACGGATGACACCTTTGAGCACATCACCCAGGCTTCCACCGGCCAGACCACCGGCGTGTGGCTTGTCAACTTCTGCAGCCCGAAGGCGTGCAAGGACCTGGCGCCCGCCTGGGAGGAGCTGGGCAAGGATTTGCTGCAGCAGCAGCTGTTTGTGACCAGCGTGGACGTGCACAGCAACCCTCAGCTGCGCACGCGGTTTGGCATCACCACCCTGCCTACCATCCTGCTCTTCCGGGACCGCAAGGTGGGCTTGGGCTGGGCTGCCGCATCTGGCGTCCTTTCCTGAGCAAAGATGGCACTGGTTCTGTCGCTGCAGATGTATCGGTTTGAAGGCAAGCTGATCCCCGGCACCACGGACTACAAGGCAGTGCTCAAGGCGTTTGCCACAGAGGAGTATGCTGGCGGGACCGCGCTGGAGGTGCCGCCCGTGGCCTTGCCCTTTGACTGGCTGTCCAAGCTGGCGCACCAGAAGCTAGCCACGGTGAAGACGGCACTGGAGACTCAGGTGAGGTTTGGCGCCCGCATGGGAGCAGGGTTGGCACCAGGGGAGATTGGCAGGGCTCAGGAGTGGGGACCGGTGTGCAGGGGGGCCTCCTTCACGGCAGCAAAGCTGGACGCTGCGTTTGCGACGTCTGCTGCCATGCCTCCCGCTTGCAGGACTTGAGTGGGCTGGCCATGGCGCTGCTCCCGATCCTGCTGGTGTTGCTGCTGGCCATGCTACTCATGCTGGCCAACCTGGGGGGAAAGAAGACAAAGCGGGAGTGAGCTGGTTTGTGTAACAGTGATGGATGCAGTTATCCTGACGTGTGAGCTCCAACTTTCGTGGCAACCGAAACTGGCATGGTGAGGATGCTGGGCTGCAGCCATTGAGGGGTAGAAGTGGTGGAATATGATGAAAGAGGTGCAGCCACAGGGCGCCGGCGCCTTGAACACCGAGCCAAAAGGGTGAGGTGACGGTAGATCGGACACTGAAAAGGCCCAGCTATGGATGCGGGCAGCTCTTCTCCATGCGCCTGCTGCCCTCCCTGCTTTTCTGCAGTAGTGCCCTGCCCTTGCCATGTCCCCTCCCATCTCCTTGTATCCTTCCGCTCCTGGATTGCACGTCCCCTTGATCTGCTGTGGTTGTCCGCAGTCTCCAGTCGCCGTGGTGTGGGCAGCACAGAACGCCATGACACGGTGCGTGCCTCAGGCGGCGATCCTTGGTATGGTGGCCTGTCAGACACCTTTCATAAACAACTGCCCAAAATCAGTGGGGGGTCTCGGCGCCCTGCTGGCCGCCAGCGCGTGGCGGGTGGCAGATTTCCCTTCTCTCCCCGGCCACAGGGTGCTTTTTAACTGGCCGATTGCATCGTACATAAGTGTGCTGCGACCCGTTCCCGTTCAGGTGCTGGGCCATCTCCGTGTTGATCAGACTTCCGTGGCGGGCGTTTGCCGTCCCGTTTTCCTGTCCCGACTACCGCTTCAGCCTGGATTCCGCTGCAGAGATGCCCAGCCTCAAGGCGGTAGCGGTGGGAGTGGGGCTGGTGGCGGCCGCTCTCGTCGCCGACAGAGTCTCCCAGGTCTGGGCGTCCCTGCTGGAGAGCAACGTTCTCATCTTCATTTTTGTGGGGCTGCTCCTGGCGGTGGCGCTGTACAGCACAGGTACCAATGGGCAGGCCTTTGGCGGCAGCACAGGCGCGACCACCAGCCAGCAAATCGTGCCGCGCCGCCCACACCTGGGCAGCAGCAGCACCAGTGGCAATGCCAACAGCCCAGTGCAGACCCCTAGACGGCCGACTGAGACGGCGCAGCGCTCACGCCGCCGTGTCATCACAGATGTGCCCAGCTTCATGCAACCCAGCGGTAGCGGTGGGAGCATCAATGCGAGTGCAGGAAGCAACGCCAATGATGCAGCGCTTGTGGCCAGCGGCAGCACCGGCGGTGGCGGCGGCAGCAGCAACACCGCGCTTGTTGCCGTTGATGACTTGAGCAACGCTCTGGTAGAGAGTGAGCATGTGCTGGCTGCCGGCTGCCTTTTTGTAGGAGCGAGAAGCGAGACATTGTCAGTTTTTGGCTCGGGTATCCCTTTCCCAGTTATGTGCCTGCTATCCGTGCAGGCGCCAGCCTGTCCTGCCCCGCGCCGCACGGCTGCGGCTTCAGGCACACCTGCCCCGACCTGGGCCGCAGCTGGATGCGCTGCAAGAAGCACGGCCACCACATGGCGCCCCCCGATGGCAGGTGCGCTCCAGCTGTTGTGGTGGTCTCACCTCTGCCAGGAGTAATGTGCTGCACGCACTGCGCATCCATGCACTCATGGCAGCTCCTGTGCCCTCACCCCCAAAGCCTCCATGGGTGCTGCAGCGTGTGGCGGGAGCGGGTGGACGAGGACCAGGCGGGAGCTGGCCAGCTGCGCCTGTGCCTGAGCTGGAGGGGCAGGGTGCTGGATGTGACGGAGGTTGGGGAGTGCCGAGGCTGGGAGAAGGAGATGACGGACAGGGTGGGCACCCTTGAGCAGCACCGCGCAGCTGTCTGCCCCTGTTGGCATGGGTCAATCGAGAGTTTCTGGTCTTCCCAACCACCTAGTGCCACTTGCTGTGTCTGCTGCAGGTTCTGTCTGCAATGACTGCCAGCGGGCGGCGCCTGGGGGACGTGTGCAGCCTGAGCCACCCGTTGCTGGACAAGCTGGGGGAGGTGCTCACGATGGACCCCCGCGCAGCCGCTGAGGGGGCAAAGTGGTGGAACCTGTGGAAGAGGCGCAGCCAGGGTCCGCCGCAGCCCTCCACGCCGCCGCTGGCCATCGAGCTGCCGAGCATGAGGGCAGGCAGATCCTAGGTTGGAGGCTGGCGGGCTACTCGCAGGAGGCCCCAATAGACCGCGTATGCATGTTCCTCTACGTCTTGTACATGCTTGGAACCTTTGCCCCCATGCTGTGTGAAATGCCTGCGGTGATGAGTACCGCCACGCCAGGGTTTCGGCTTCCTGTGCTGCTTCAGTGCCCGGCCATCTCCCTGCCCCTGCAGTATTGTGCAGCCTTGAAAAAGTAGATCTAGAGCCTGCGCTTACACACGCGCACACACAAAACAAGAGCTAAGAATGAATTTGAAAAAAATGAAGGGCTACATGCCGCAATGCGCTAGTATTGCAAGGGACAAGGATTCAACTTGGCAACAACTGACAGACAGTGCAATTCTGGGTGAGCTGAGCGGGTCAAGGGACATCAGATCGTGCAATTACTCGTTCTATGGTTGAGTTTGAAGTTGGAGGGATTGTCTTTGAGGGTTGGTTGGTTTCTCTAGGGTTGGCAGAGCAGCTGGCAGGCGTGGTGATCTTCAATCATGCGAGCGAAGCGGCAACCATTGGTGGAATGCGTGAGAGGTTGGTCACAATCATCGACTCGACAATGTCGCCTGAGAGAGGGAGTGGGGATGGAGGGAGGAGGGTTGCTTTCAGTCCCTCTGGCCTTTACCACAGGCAGGGCGCACCTTGCTGCCAACTCGGCAGCAGCAGGCCTCACCGTTGTTGATGAAGGATGTCAGCTTGTGCTCCCCTGAGTCGCTGTCTGAGCTGCCCGACGATGCATCCACGGCCAGTTCCGGCTCCCCCACGATGACGGTCCTGGTGGGGTGCAGCGCCGCCACCACGCCCTCCAGCACCACCATGCCGCTCACGTGCCGCAGGATGATTCTGTCCCCCAGGGAGAACGGCCTCATCGCGTACTGCACGCAGCCGGAGGCATGGGACATGCGTAGTTCAGGGCAGGGCACTGCACGCGAGTGCAAGCTTGACAGCGAGGCAGGCGTTGAGCCAGCGTCGGCAGGCAGGCAGGGCTCAGGTGCCACACCAGGGTCACCCCAGCGGCGACATTGCGCAGCAGGTTTTGCATGGCAATGCCGATGACGAGCGACGAGGCGCCCAGCGATGCGAGGAGGGGGCGGAGGTTGACGCCATACTGCAGGCAGCGGGGATTGTTTGGGCAGTGTTGCTTCACTCGCCCCGGGATGTGCGTTTGGCCCGCACAATGCGCAAGCGCCCTGAGCCCATGCTGCTGCCAATAACTCACATTGGCCAGCGTGACCATGCCCGCCGCCGCCCAGATGAGCTGCAGGCAGCCAGCCATCGCAATGCACAGCAGCCTGAGGTACCTGATGTACGCGCCACAAGCAGCTAGAGGCGCGGGCGCAGCAAGCAGCAGGAGGCCTGTTGCCTGTGGCACGGCGCGGCGCGCTCACCCCGCTTGCCATGGTGCCCAGGGCTGCCACCAGCCCCACGGCGTCGCTCATGGTGCCGCACCGGTCGTTGCGCTGCACCAGCGCCTGGCAGAAGGCCACGGCCCGGCGCTTGAAGTCAAGCAGGGTGAAGGCGCCCAGCAGGATCACAATCTCCTCCGCCGCATCTTGCAGGAACTGGGTGAGGTGTGCCAGGAAGGCGACGCCCGAGGCGGAGCCCTTGGCGCCCAGCAGCACCGCCAGGCCCTCGGGGCGCCTGCTGGCTGCGACTTGCACCAGCGCAAACATGGCTGTGGCGCCGTAGGCGGCGGCCCACCAGGGCAGCAGCCGCTGCGACTGCTGCAGCAGGCTGCTGAGCAGCGCTCGGCCGGCGCGCCCCCAGATGCCGCCGCTGGGCGCATCGCCCTCGTCGTAGCTGCTGGCATGGCCAGCGATCTGCATGCAAGGGCGGGGCAGGCGGTGGGGCATGGCGCCACCAGTGTGGCATCTGCTGATGCAAATCTCTGCATGCACCACAACCCACGCCAGCCCGCTGCCTCTGCGCCCACCTTGCCGTCGAGGAAGCGCAGCAGGGTGCCGCCAACCACCGTCAGCGCGGCGGTAACCACGATGTGTCGAATGCCCAGCGCAGCCGCATCCGCCAGCGTGCCGCAGGCTGCCATCTGATCCAGCAGCGGGACGCCGGTGGCATGCAGCCACTGCTCCGATGCCGCTGTGACGTCAGCAGCAGAGGCCACGACGGCAGCACGCGGCTGGCCTGCCGGCGCCGTGCGAGGCAGGCGGGAGCGGCGGGCGCTGACGCAGGGCGCCAAAGGCACGGGGCGGGCTGTGGGCGCCCTCAGGCCCCTGCCATGCGCCCCGACGACGTGAGCGGGGGCGCCAGAATGCCGCGCGGCGGCTTGCGAGCCACCCCGGGCGCGGTTGCACGCGTAGGGTTTCATAGGGGCGCGAGCCGCCGCTGCAATCCTCGAACTGCCGAAAGGAGCTGCCAAAGCCGTGCGATGGGCCGTGGAGGTCAGACGAGAGTTGGGTGGGGGTCTCTGACCCTGTACTGGCGAAAAACCTTGGGGGGCGTTCACCAGGCAGAGAGGGTTTCGACCGAAGCGATCTGCTGCTTGCGCATTACCGCAGGCGCTGGAAATAGATCGAATTGAACAAAATGGCCACTGCCCTGTGCTGCGCCTGCTGTGTGCCAGCGGGCAAGGGCGCCGTGGTTGGAGCCCTCTCGATCCTGTTGTGCACAAATGGACCGACGTGCAGCTACAACAGTGGATTTACACAGCAATAAATCGGGCAATGCATGCCAGCGCCGCAAGAGGGTCTGCACTCCAGCAGACACCGCCGCGCTTCCATTCCAGCCCCAGCCAGGTCTGCCCATTCCTGCCCAGCTGCTTGCTGCCGCAGCCGCGCAGGCGCCAGGCCCCAACACGCCAGCAGGCGGCCCCCTACACCAGCTTGTTGCGGATGTCCTCCAGCTTCTTCAGCACCTCCCCGGGGGAGCGGTCGAGCTCCTCGGCCACGCCGCGCGCCTTGTCGGCGGCCAACTGCGGGTACTGCTCGCACAGGTCGCCATCAACCACATCCTTGACCGGGAAGTAGAAGGACCTGAGGGGGG